TAAGTCTCCTCTCAAAGGATGGTCTTCTTTGTAATTTAAAATCATTTTTGAAACTGTTACCTTTTTGAAGTCGGTTCAGTTTCCTGATGAATGTTAGGGTCTTAGCGTGCTGAATGAGACCCTGCTGTTACTCTGAGGTTACTTTAAAGGGAAATACCCTTACTTTATACTGTCCTGATTCGATTTAACCGCAAAAACATGGCGTATTTTTCTCTATGCATATCTTCTTTAACTCACGAATGTATTTGGATTTTTTAAATCATTAATTCATAGGATAAAATTCATAGGAATTTTTAATTTCATTCTTTTTTTTTCTAATTTGCTAGAGAGTATGTGCACTTGCTGGAGAGAGAGAGAGAGAGAGGAAGAGGGAGAGCGGAAGGGGAGGGGGAGAGAGAGGGAGGGGGAGGGAGAGAGGGAGGGCTAGAGAAAGTGAGACAGCACCTCCAACCATGGGGGTGGTTACACCCCCATCCCTTCTCCTCCATCTCTCCCTCCTTTGGGGATTGTGGGCACACGCAAATGAGCGCCTGGTGTGTTTTTCAAGCTGCCAGTTCCAGGACTCGAACCACGCAGTCGGCCATGTGGGATCCGGATGCCTTAACCACCAAGCCAACAGCTGGCCCTGAATTACATTTTGCAGTGTGTATGTCCAAAGCTTAGAAATGCTCTCGACCTTTGTAAGTCCATCAGATAATAAGAGGCTTCAGATCTCTCTGGAAGCTGGGAAGGTTTTCAGACAAGCCCCTTGGATTTGCTGGGTGGGCACGCATTTGTCAAGTGTTAGTGGCGGACAAAGATCTCGAGTGAGAGAGACGCATTGCGCAGGCTGAGGGCATGAGGGGCTCTACCCTCACAGGACAGTGTCCTCAGCCCTCTCCAAGGCCCCTGGTGACCTCCAGAGCTGGAGCACCGCTCCTGGAAAGCCTGTCCTGGGAGCGGCCATACCCCACACCACCAGCAGAGGGCGCCTCTGCATCTGTTACCCCACCCCCACCCAGAGGCCCAGAATTGATGCCAGCTGGACTTGTCTCCTTTGGAGCTTCCAGCGGATGCCAAAGATAACATTCATGACCTCCCTGGAGGACAGTGCTCACGGCTCCTCATTGTCACCCTCACTCCATGACGTGGAGGGTGTCACCTCTGTCTGCCCAGTGGACTCGACACAGCGTGATGGCAAAGCATTCCCGGCTGCCTCTCCCACCTGGTCCTCCCTCGGCCCTCTGACTCAGCTGCAGTAATTACCCCCAAGTTATTCATGAGAAAACTGAGGCTCAGCGGGGCTAAGAGGACTGCCCAGGGTCACACAGCTGGCTCCAAACCACTATCTGCTATACGGGACAGTGACCTGGACTGGGGGAGATGGGGACCAGGCCCTCAGGACAACTCAGCGCACTCCAGAGCTGGAAGGGCACATCTCCGCATCTCAGCCCCTGCGGTGTGCGCAGCCCATACCCCGCCACTCCATCCCTAGGTCCATGGCCTCAGGCCATCTCAGGCCTCATCATCCTCCGGTGTGGCTCGAGAGGTCACCGCCGGGCCCCAGCCTGGGCTCACCTGGGCATCACAGAGAACAGGGTCTCCTTCCACTTGTACTCAGAGTTCTTTTGGTTCCGAGTCACTACCACGTGCTCAGGGGATGCGTGAACCTGCAGCTGGGGGCTCTTGAAGGTCACCTGAATCCACGAGAGCTCAGCCTTCTCCGCGTCATACTGGCCAGTCACCTCAATCCCTGAGAGGGCAGGATCAGAGAGGTCAAGGCTGTGGCCGCAGCCAGGGGAGGGCACCGCCTGCACGGGGAGCCCGCGCTGATTACAGCCCCTGAGAACCGCCCTTCACCAGTTTCCCAGCATCCTCTACACTGGGGGCCTGGTTCCCGCGATCTCTCCCCACACCCCCTGGTTTCATATGGCTGTGGAGGGGTCCAATTCCTTGGCCATGGCCGCCCTCAGATGAGACCATGGAGCTGGGAGGTCTTGTCTGGAGCCCATGCGCCTTCCTGGAGCCCCTGTGGTGTGCCTGGCCCTACGCTTGACACCACGGCCAAGGACAAGATGGCAAATCAGGAGCAGACAGACCTCGGGCCTGAGCAAAGAGGGGACAGGGTGTAGAGCTGGGAGAGTGGGAGAGCAGGGCTGTCCCTGGGCTCCGAGTCGTTCTGTCCCACACCCACTTGCCACCTCAGCTCACTGGAGGCCCTCCAGGGTTGAAGGGCAGGCTGCAGCAGCACACCTACCTCTGCCCACCAGTTCTATCCTCACCCCCTCCAGGGTCCCTTCTTTTAAGGCCCTGTGCTCTGGGGGCACAATTCCTCTGCGTGGAACAGCATCAGGAGGCCCGCAGCGTGCCTGCCAAGGCCCAGCCCCTGCTGCGTGGCCCTCCGCAGCTCCCCTGGCCTGAGGCAGATCAGCGCTCACCTCCTACTGCTGAGGGCTCTGGCTTCTCTGGGACCTGCACACGGGGACTAAAGGTCCACAGAGTGGCCATGTGAGTGCATGTCGATGTCAGGCTCAGGGGCGTGACCCTGCCATGGCCAGGTCCATGCCTGCTGTGTGTCCCTGTGGTCAGGGGGTAAGTGGTGTCTCGGTCTCTCTAGGAAGACGACCTGGGTGCAGTAGGCTCACCTTGGTCAGGGTCCGAGATCAGGTTCACAGGCTCCTGAGTCTGCTTGATGTCCACACAGAGCCGGTCCACGGTCTGCCCAGGCAGTGGCAGGATGAAGAGGTGAGCCTGGATGGGGGCTGGGAGGGCCGGGTCTCAGTTCTTGGACCAGAGGAACCGCCTGGGAGCAAGGCTGGGGAGGGGTGCTGGGGACGCTGGCAACTTACCTGGGGGTGAGGGCGCTGTAGTTGTTTCTAAAAGGAGAAGTCTGGATTTAGGCAACCTTCCTGAGCGGGCAGGGGTGTTGAGGGATAGAGCAGTGGGGTACTGCGGCTGGGGTGCAGTTTCCACTTCAATGCCAAGAAGCCCATGGGACAGGTTCACAGAGACCCAGGGCTCTCCCATCCCAGAGCTTCCCCGTCAGGACAAGAAGCTGCTGCAGGGACTCTGGGGGCACCTTTGGATCTGGGCTCTAGGCAGGGGACTCACCTGGATTGGGCACTGTGAGCACTTTTGGCGCCGACAGAGTGGGCACTGGTGCGAGCATAGCTAGAAACAGACAGGGACGGGCTGTCAGGTTCAGCATGGACAGCAGACCCACCTTCCAGCCCCCAATGCCACCTGCCACTCCCAGAGTCCAACCCTCTCCCCCCACCTCACAACCCAGAAGAGCCTTTGCAGGGAGGTTCTCCAACAGGAAGCAGCTCTTAGGGGAGGCAGTGCAGAGGAGGGGCCAGCAGGCCCAGAAGGAGCTCAATGGCCCACGGCTGGCTTTGCGAATGGAGGAACCCTTCTTTTTTAGAAGGTTTCATTCCGAGTTGGCCTCCAGAGAACAGCAAATTGTATACAGTGAAAATAAAGGAGGCGGGCCAGCAGATGGTGTGGTGGTCGAGCAGCTGGATCTCACATGACTGACTAAGTGGTTTGAGTCCTGGACCTAGCAGCTTGAGAAACATGCCAGACATGTGTGCGTACATGTGTGTACACGTAAAATCCCAAGAAGAGAATGAAGAGAGGATTGTAGTGTGGCCATTTCTCCTGGTGGTGATGGTGGGAGGATGCTTTCTCATGCCTCCCACCCCTGGAAGTACACACACCCACTAGCAAAATTTCAAAAAGAAAGAAAAGTAAGTTAAGAAAATACAGAGGCCAGCAGGTGGCATGGTGGTTAAGGGCACTTGACTCCCACATGACTGACCGCAGTTCCAGTCCTGGGCCTGGCGGCTTGCTTTCTCACGTTCTCTCTCTCTCTCAATCTCTATCTCTTACTTTGTCCCTCTCTGCTCAAATTAAAATAAATAAAGATAAAGTAATTCAAAAAGAAAGAAAGAAAGAAGAAAGAAAAAGAAAGAAAGAAAGAAAGAAAGGAAGGAAAAGAAAAGAAAAGAAAAGAAAAGAAAAGAAAAGAAAAGAAAAGAAAGAAAAGAAAAGAAAGAAAAGAAAGAAAAGAAAAGAAAGAAAAGAAAGAAAAGAAAAGAAAGAAAAGAAAGAAAAGAAAAGAAAGAAAAGAAAGAAAAGAAAAGAAAGAAAAGAAAGAAAAGAAAAGAAAGAAAAGAAAGAAAGAAAAAAGCAAGCAAGCAAGCAAGCAGGCAGGCAGGCACTAAGCCCTTCTCCAGAGAGGGAATGGCTGTAGCCATAAGCAGGTGGGGAGAGGTGCCTTAGAAAAGCAACTGGCAGTGAGGGGTCCAGAGCATATCAGGGTGGACACTCATGACCTTCCCCTGATGCTCTTGGGGCCCAGGGTCCCCTCTGAACAGGAGCATGGGAGAGGCTTGTGGGCAAGTCCCTAGGGGCAGCTGAGGGAGCCGAGAGACAGAATACTGAGGACAAGGCCGAGGGAAGTCTGGCTGAGAGCTGGGAAGGAGAGGGCAGCCCCCAGGAAGGGCTATGTCCCCGCCCCCCTTACTCAGCCCTCCTGTGGGCCGTGCCCCTGGACCCACAGCTCCTGAGCACCAAGCCCACAGCACTGCTCCCCATGCTGGCCCCAAACCTGGCGCTTCATCTGCCCCGACACCATGGGGTAAGTGCGAGACCATCACGAAGAAATGGAGGCCGGCAGCCTTGGAGGTCGGGAAGGCGCTTACCGAAGGACGTTTCTGGGAGCTTCCTCCACAGCTCTGTCTGGGGCTGAAGGATACGGCTGGGAGAATAAAACTTATCAAGGTGGAGGCCTCTGAATCTTGTACCATGGCCACCGCTGGGTCCGAAACGTGCAGGGGTCCTGAAGAGTCCAGCTTTGGGAAAGTGGACACAGACTGCTCTCGCACACAGCCACGGCTCGGGGACCCGCCCAGGTGTGGGAGGACGTAGAGGGGCAGGTGGCTTCCCCACACTTCTGGACACTCTGGGACACACCCCCGGGGACGCCAGGCCTTCCCTAACGGTGTCCCTCTTGGCCACCTTGTATTCCAGACTGTTGTTTCCTTCGGCTGCTAGATCTGAAGACAGTGCGACCTGGAAATTGGTGAGACCTGGGTTTGCCTCTCGGACTACCTTTCTGGGGCCAAACTGCATGGGGAATGTCTCCAGAGCCTGGGTAAGGCCTGAGGGGCAGCCGCTACCTGAATGAACAGGCGACAACACACAGCCATGCACTTGGTCAGGGCTGGGCGGGGGCGGCCTCGGGACACAGGGGCCTTATAGAGACCTGTGGGTCAGTGGATCACAACCCCAGCCAGCTCTGAGGCTGTTAGGCCCTTACCTGGGTGCGAAGGCCTGTGTTTGCTTTCTAGATAAGAGAGAGAGAGAGTGAGGGAGACTGTCAGGGTGGTTTTGACCAATTTGAAGTGCTGACATGAAATCTTAGAACCCAATCCGAGAACTACATAGGGACAGAGAATCTGGGAAGTCAGGCGACCTGACCTCAGTTTCCTCATCTTTAAAATGGGATGAGTTGGAACCAACAGACAGCATAATGGTTATGTCGCTGGGCTCCCACGTAGTCAACCACAGTTCGAGTCCTGGACCCCCAGAGACTTAAAACCCACGCTGGGTGCATGTGTGCCCAAAATCCCAAGAGGAGAATGGAGAAGGGATTGTAGCATGGCCATCCCCCATGGTGGGAGGTGCGATTTCTCTCTTTCTGTCTCTCTGGTAAGCGCATGTGCCCTATAGCAAAAAATCTCTCTTTTTGAAAAAAAAGGGTGAGTTTTCTCAGAGTCTGTGGATGGCAGGATCGGGGTCTTGGTCAGGATGCAGGGGAAGGGCAGGGTGAATATGGGGTGGACCTCCTCCAGCTCACACTCACCATCTTCCACAGGCTTCTCCAGAACTTGAGACTGATCTTGGCCTTCGGGTTTGGTGACCACCATAGATGTGAGGGGCGTGACAAAGCTATATTTGAGTGACATGTTCAGAGCTTGGGTCTCGAGTGCCTTCCGCTCAGCATCTGATGCTAAAATCCTGTAGGTTGAGGATATTGAGGATCAGGGGGTCCCTAGACGCCTGGAAAGATTCTCCTTCTCGATGAGCCTTTTCTGCAAGGGCCCCCTGGGAGGGTCTGGCACTCAGACATGATACCGAGATCCTCCCCCATCCACGCGTAGGGAACGGCCCAAGCCGGCGTGGCCTGCTCCGCCAGCGAGGCCTGGGAGGTGCTGCCGTGTCCACCCTCCCCCTCGTGGCCCACGAGAGTCGAAGCTGCTCACAGCCGCTCTAGCTGCTGCTGGATGGTCAGGTACGCCCAGAGCCTCTCCATGAAGTTGTGGAAGATGTACTTGGGGCCCTGGAACGCCTCCTCCTGTTCCGCCACGCTGGCCTCTGCCTGGAAGGTGATGTTCTGCAGATGCTGGAGAGAGGAGCCCAGCCAGGGCAGGAGCAGTGAGGGCCAGGCATCCACACCCGGCCTGGCTCGTCCGAGCTCCTCCGTGAGAAACCGGATCAGAGCTGTGCTGTGAGGGCGCATTTCCTCTGAGTAGAGTGCGGGCCAGGGAAGGAGTTTAGGGGTGCAAGGGACTGGGCCACAAAGCCTCCAAGGATGAGGACCTAGACATCAGGAGTAGCGAGGTACTCGGGTACAAGGCAGGGGCATAGCCAGGAGTCGGGATGGCTGGCCCTTTGGGAGAAAGGGAAAGGAGGCCGGGATCTGAGCCCCACACCTAGAGAAGCAGCCGCGAGCACTGTGCAGGGCTCCCTGACATAGCACACCAGTGCTCCATAGATGGGAGCAGCAGCGAGCACTGTGCAGGGCTCCCCGCCATAGCACACCAGGGCTCTAAAGATGGGAGCAGCAGTGAGCACTGTGCAGGGCTCCCCGACATAGCACACCAGGGCTCTAAAGATGGGAGCAGCAGTGAGCACTGTGCAGGGCTCCCCGACATAGCACACCAGGGCTCTAAAGATGGGAGCAGCAGTGAGCACTGTGCAGGGCTCCCCGACATAGCACACCAGGGCTCTAAAGATGGGAGCAGCAGTGAGCACTGTGCAGGGCTCCCCGACATAGCACACCAGGGCTCTAAAGATGGGAGCAGCAGTGAGCACTGTGCAGGGCTCCCCGACATAGCACACCAGGGCTCTAAAGATGGGAGCAGCAGTGAGCACTGTGCAGGGCTCCCCGACATAGCACACCAGGGCTCTAAAGATGGGAGCAGCAGTGAGCACTGTGCAGGGCTCCCCGACATAGCACACCAGGGCTCTAAAGATGGGAGCAGCAGTGAGCACTGTGCAGGGCTCCCCGACATAGCACACCAGGGCTCTAAAGATGGGAGCAGCAGTGAGCACTGTGCAGGGCTCCCCGACATAGCACACCGGTGCTCCATAGACGGGAGCAGGGTCAGAGAGGAAGGGCCTGTGCCAGCGGTCTGAGAGCAGAACTGTGGCTTCATAGCTCCAGGTCTGGGGTCTAAGAAACTGTCACCGGCCCAAGCTGGCCCCTCTGCTGGGGCTGCCAAACATGGGACAATGACAGGGAAGCATATGTGGCCTGGTCACTTCCTTCCCTAGCCGGAGGGGCATGGTTTCATGCTGACACACATCCCAGCTTGGGAAATAGGTCTCAGGGCAGAAGAGCTTCTGGGCTTCTCTCCCCAGAGCTTCCACAGTGACCAAGAGACGCTTTTGCAATGTGAATCAGATCCCGCCCCTGCAGGGACCGGCCTCCTCTCTTTCCTTCAAGGGCCTGGCTTCCCAAAGCATTGGCACTCGCAGGCTGCCTGCAGGAATTTTTGTGTTTTTTAGAGATTTTTGCTGTGGGATGTGTGTGCTTGCCGGAGAGACAGAGAGAGAGAAAGCAAGAAATCACATCCCCAGAGGGAGAATGACCATGCCCCAATCCCTCTTCTCCGTTCTCCTCTCAGGATTTTAGGCATACATGCACACATGCCTGGTGTGAGTTTCAAGCCGCCAGGTCCAGGACTCAAACCACAGTCGGCCACATGGGAGTCCAGTGCCTTAACCACTACACCACCTGATGGCCCTGGAATTTTTATTTTATTTTTGCCAGAGGACAGGTGCACTTGCCAGAGACAGAGAGAGGGAGAGGAGAAAGTCCCCTCCACAAGGCATGGTCACTCTGTTATCCCTTCTCCGCTTCTCCATCCTGCTGGGATTTAGGGTGTGCACACACATGCGCACAGCATGTTTTCAAAGCGGCTGAGGCTGGGACTTGAACTGCATGGTCAGCCATGTGGGACTCAGCTCCCTTAACCACTAGGACACAGGACCCGCCCTAACTTGCATGAATTTTGCCCTCACCACATGAACAGCTGTTTGATTGCAGTTTTTCCTTAAAGGAATTTTAAATAGACCCACACGTTTTACTCGGCATTGGGCCGCCCCGTGCTCACTGCCATTCTCCCCCTATGAGCTGCACTCCTGCCACACCAGCCTGGAACAGTCTTCTGTCACTCGACCATCGGGGTCTGCCCACCTCATCCTCAGCCCCTCATTCTGAGCCTCCTCCAGCAAGCCCTCTCTGGTTGCAGGCCAGGCTGGGCCTCTGGTGCTGCTGTCCTGAGTCTTTGGTTTGACCTGTCAGGGTCATCCCATCTTTGACTCTGTAATGATATCTCTCCTATAAGGGAAGGGTTGTCCACATGCACTGCCATGGCCCTGGGCTTAGAGAAGGGCCTGGCACAGAGGCAGAGAAGGCTGGGCAAGGACCAGGTGCCACAGGGTGAGCTGGGCCCTCAACCTAGGGCAGTTGCCTGCCCTGTCCAGAGCTCAGTCTGCTCATCTGTGAAATGGGAGCAGCCCTCTCTGCCCAGCTGCAACCTCAGAGGGCCGGAACGAAGGCAGGCGGGAGGACAGCTCCCTGGAAGGAATCCTGGTGTCGTCTGTGCTCACAGGACCAGCAGCAGCCGACTGAGGAATGCCCGTGTGCTGGGTACAGCACAGGTGCTCTGGTGACAGCCCTGCCTTGTTCCCTCGCATCTCTACAGGACCCGCCTGGTGGGACCAGTGTCCTCCACAGGCAGCAGGGGGGAAATGTGAGGTTCGGGGCACTTTGAGACTTCTCAAGGTTGATCAGCTAGAATCGGCAGGGCTGAGATTTGAACTCGCCCCTTGGTCTGCAAAGGGATGGCTGGACCGCACTCACCAGCTGCCCGTTGACTTTGGCTGACAGCACATCAGGGTTCTGCTCCTGGAGCTTCCCGGCCACCACTATCTCCGAGCCCTTGAAGAGCAGCCGGAAGTTGTCTTGCGTGACAGCCTCCACGACGTTGCTAGGATACTCGAAGACCACAGCCGTCATCAGGGGGTTGGCCACCTCCTGGTAGAAGTCCTGTAGGGTGGGAGGTTTCACCAAGGCCAGCGGAGCGGGGTCTGCCTGTCTCTGTGCAGCCCCACCCGGGGCATACTGGCACCTGAAGCTGCAGGGCGGAGTCCGAGTCCTCGTAGATGCGCCGTGCCAGGCCGCCGTTGTCCAGCGCCAGCTTCTCCAGGAAGGGGTAGATGACGTCGAAGCCGAAGCCCAGGCAGAAGAGGTTGAACTGGTCGCCTATGGCTTCCCGTACATTCTTCTGGATCTTCACGGGGTTGGTCTCCCCTGGGCCCAGGGATTGAAAAGAGGGTGAGCCAATGGCAGTGACCTGCTCAGTGCATCCTCAGAGCCAGAGGGGCCTCACTGCCCCCCACAGGTCCCAGGGCTCCCCCTGCGGCGTGCCCCGGAGCTGCACCTTCTGTGGGCTCGCCGTCGGTGAGCAAGATGATGAGAGAGACGCTTCCCCTGGGCAGCAGCTCTTTCTGGTTGCTGCTCTTCAGCAGGTCCACGGCGGCCAGCACTGCGTCGTTGATATTGGTCCCTGAAGGGCACACGGTGTCACAGCAGTTCCCGGCGGCGTGCCCAGAAGCCCCTGCCCTTCAGGGCTGCAGAGGTGCTCACCTCCGATGGCCCTGATGTCTTTTGCGTAGCTCTTGGCCTTCTCCACGTTCTGGGCTGAGGCTGGCACCAGCAGTGGCTCCCACTGGGTGACTTCCCGGCTGAAGGTGATGAGGTTGAACTGGTCTTTGGGTTTGAGGTCATCCAGGATCTTGATTAGGGCTTCCCGAGTCTGACCAGAGTGAGAAGGGACAGAGTGGGAGGCTTGGAGGGCTCTCTGGGGACTCATGTATTCCCACATTGGCATCCCTGGGCTTGTGTCTGGGGTGGGGACATGGGGAATGGAGAAGGGATTGCGGTGTGGCCATCTCCACCCTGGGGGGTGATCTCTCTCTTTCTCCTTGGTGGTAAGCACACGAGCCTTAAGACAAAAACCTCCTTAAAAAAAAAAAAAACAGGGACCAGCAGTTAGCGTAGTGGCTATGTCGCTGGACTCCCACATAGTCGACCACGGTTCGAGTCCCAGACCCGGTGGCTTAAACTCACTCCGGGCATGTGTGTATGCGTGCCCAAGATCCCAAGAAGAGAATGGAGAAGGGATTACAGCCTGGCCATCCCCCCTGGGCGGTGATTTCTCACTTTCTGTCTGTCTCTGTATTTCTGGTGCGCACATGTGCCCTATAGCAAAAACCTCTCAATAAAACAAAAACAAAAACATCGCTGGGTCGGCCAGGCAGTGTGATGGTTAAGAGTGATTAAGTGAGGGAACCAGCAGTTAGCGTAATGGCTATGTCGCTGGACTCCCACGTAGTCGACCGCGGTTCATGTCCCGGACCCAGTGGCTTAAAACTCACGCCGGGCGCGTGTGTGTGCGTGCCCAAGATCCCAAGAGGAGAATGGAGGAGAAGGGATTGCGGCATGACCATCCCCCCGGGAGGTGATTTCTCGCTTTCTGTCTCTATGTCTCTCTCTGTCTGTCTGGCGAGCACACGCGTCCTACAGTGAAAAAATCTCTCAAAAAAAAAAAAAAAAGAGTGGTTAAGTGATAATGAAGACGGCTGGAAGGGCCCACATGACCAACTGTGGAATCTGAGTCCCGGACCCAGTGTGCGCACGTCCGGGCCCTGGCCCACCTCCACTCCTGGAAGCCCTCTCCCGCCCGCCCCCCCCAGACCTAAGGGAAGAAGGCGGGAGGTTGAGACTCCAACTCACACCCACCATCTCCCATGGGCTTCTCCACAGCGGGCGGTCTGCGCATTGGACCAGAGCTGATGGTGGGAGGGGTCTGGGAGTGTTCAGGGCCCTGCCATGGCCAGAGGACCTACCTGCTGAATCTTCCTGCCACTCATGGAGCCACTGGTGTCGATGACAAAGATCACATTCTTGGGCATTGCAGGCAGGCCCTCGGGGGCAAAGTAGTGCACGAAGTAGCCGTTCTCGATCTGTGGCCGGAGCGACACCACTGGGGGCGTCAGAGCTGCAGTCCCGCCCTGCCTCTGTCGACTCCTCACCCTGGATCCTTGGGTTCCTCTGCTCTCCTTGTACACCCCCAACTCTACCCCACAACTAACCCACCTTCCCAAACCCTCGCCAAAGCCTCCCTGCTTAGGCATGGCCCATCAGAACTCTCCCCCCCAACCTCACATTGTATATGTTTTAGTGTTTGAGGTGGTTATACTGAAAGGTTTAGACATAACCTGACAGCCCTCAAAAGAGGGGTGACTTCAAAGACAAGGAGTTAAAGGAAACATAGGAAGTCAGAAATGTGCATAAAAGCTACTGCAATGGGATAAAAAAAACCCTGCTGGGTAGTGGTTACGTCACTGGACTCCCTCTTACATGGTCAACTGCAGTTCAAGTCCCGAACCTGGTGGCTTGAAAAGTCACACTGGTTGTGTGTGCGTGCATGCCTAAGATCCTGGGAGGAGAATGAAGAAGGAATTGTGGTGTTGCCGTTCCCCCTGAAGGGGGTGATTTCTCACTTTCTCTCTCACTGTTTCTGCCTCTCTTTCTCCACTGTTTCTGTCTCTCTTCTCGCCCATGCACCCTAAGGCAAAAACCTCTTTAAAACAAAAAACTGAAAACTAAATTCAGCTGGGCCAGCCAGGTAGTGTGGTGGTTAAGAGAGGCTGGATGAGCCCACATGACCAACTGTGAAATGTGAATCCCAGACCCCGTGGCTTGAAAAATATGGGGGGAGGGCAGCAGGTGGCATGGTGGTTAAGGCTCTGGACTCCCACACGGCTCACTGTGGTTCGAGTCCTGGACCTGGCAGCTTACTTTCTCATTCTCTCTCTGTTTTTCTCTGGTCAAGTTGAATAATAATTAAATTAAATTAAAAAAGAAAGAAAAGCACACTGGGTGTGTGTATGTGCATGCCCAGAATCCCGAGAGGAGAGGGGAGGAGAAGGGATTGCGGTGCGGTTATCTCCCCTGGGGGGTGCTTTCTTAGTTTCTTTCTCTATCACTGGCAAGCTCACACACCTGATGGTAAATTAAAAATGAAAAAATAAAACAAAAGACTGAGCTGAGAGCCTGCTAGCAACCCCGGCACAGAGGCAAAGCCCAGAGCGGCTTTCTGCAGACACATCTCCGCTCTCACAGGGCCCGGTTTCAGGTACAGCACAACCCGCTACCCGATTTCGTCCGTGCCGCCCCCGTGCGCACGGCTGAGCAGGAGGGGCTATTTTCCTCTTTTAGAACACCCGAGCTCAGTTGCTTAAGAGCGCTCCAATGTCTAGGTTGCCCTGCCCTTGCCTGCAGTCCACCCACCTGAATGGAGCCCCCAGAGTCGGTCCGGTTCACATCGTAGCGGACGATGAAGCTGCCGTCCAGGACCGTGTCCTGCTTCTCTGGAGACTTCTGCTGCTGGGCGAGCGTGGGCTTGAAGCGGATGTGAGCCTGGAGGAACAGCCTGGGCTGAAGCTGGGAGGGCAGCGAGGCCATGCCCACACCACCTTCTCCTGCCCGCACTGGGGCAGCCTTGTGTCTCTGTGGCAGGGACTTTTCTTACTGGCTGGGGTGCTGACGGACAGGTTACCCACGCCAGGGAGCGGGCACGAGAGGGGTGGCGCCAACAGAGCCAGGCTCAGGACACGCGTGATCCAGCCATCTCCTCGCCCTCACCTGGTCCCAGGACCTCCCCATCATTCTCTAGGCCCCGTCCTCCCTGTCTGCCAAATGACAGCGTGGACACAGAGCTCTCAGAAGCCCCTTCAGCTCTGAGACTGTCCACCTGTCCCTCTCTGGAAATCCAGGCTCACAGGGCTAGACGCCAAGCCCGCAGTCCGGGTGGCCCCACCTTGGTCTTATTCTGAGAGGTGGTGAGGGCCTCCGCCAGTTTGTCTGTCATGAAGGTGCTCTCGGTCTCTAGGAAGCTGATCCCCTGCGGCTCGAAGATGTGAATGTCCACCTGGAGGCAAGATATGGGTCACATGGGTCAGCTGGGAGCCAGGGCTGGACCTCATAGGAGGCTGGGGAGCTGGTGGGGAGCTGCCCTCGGCAAGGCAGGGAATATCTGGGAAGTCTCCCTGGAAGAGGCAGCGCCAGGTACCTGCAGGTGCTTGACCAGCTGCTGGGGTCGCACTTTCAACAGTAGCTCATACACCCCCAGATGCCGCTGGAGCAGCTCCTCATACACCAGCTCGAAGGTAACCTTGGTGGTGGGAGCCACGCTGACCGACACCTGGAACTCCTCTGTCTTCCTTCCTGTGACCCTGGGGAAAGATGGCCAGGTGGGTTAGGGCCCGAGGTGGGGACGGCCCTTGTTTATGATCTCCCACCCCACCAGAGCCCCCAACTAGCTCACTTGACAAGGCCTGCGCTCTGTCCCCTGGCCACGGCCGCACTGTACTGCTCCTGGGCCACAACCTTCTCCTTGATGTTCCCGGGGTAGGTCACGCCATCGATGATCCTGGGGCAGGAGGGGACAGTTGTCAAGAGCCTGGGGGGAAGAGCCTGCTCTGCTCCTGCCTCCTCCAGGGAGCCCTCTGGGACTTGGTGTGCCTCTTGTCTTTGCCAGACCCAGTCATTTATTATGACCTGAAGGGCACAAGACCCTGTGCAGGGTGCCAGGTGACGGTAGGGGTGCTGCAAAGCCCCCCAGGCCTCCACCTGGCCTGCGGCACGCGTGGGAACATGTGCTTTTACTAAAGGAGGGGGAGGAGTGGTGGTGGAGGAACCAGGGCTGGGCTCAGTCCCGCCCTCTGCCCTTCTAGTGGGGCTCCCTCTGAGGCAGGGCTGAAGGCTCCGCCCCTGGCCCACCACGGGCCTCTGTCCCTCCTACACAGGCGAGCTCTCTGCATCTCACAAGTAGGTTTTAGACAACTGGAACGTGGGACTCCTGCGGGCCACACGCCATGTTCCTGGAGGGGCACTCCCTCTCTTCGGGGCTGAGAAAGGACTGCACGGGTCATTTTCTAGAAGGACAACAGCTCTAGAACCTCCTGCGGGTGAGTCAGGACAGGTCAGGTAAACACTCCCCCGACCCCCCCCCACCCCGATCTGGGCGTGGCAGGTGAGGTAGGCATGTGCGGGGTGAGCGGCCAGGACATTAGGACATTAGGGCCTCGTGTCCCTCCTCCCACCTCCTGGTTATAATTTAACTTTGTGCCAGGATGGAGCGGCAGGGCTTCTCTTGGGGGGACAGTTCTCAGCCTCTTCAGGCACCTACGTGGGCTCCTAGCCAAGTCAGGGAGTCGGGCACCCTCATGCAGAACAAAATCTGGGGTCTGAGATGGGTGGTGCCGGTCCTGGGCTCTCAGCAGATGCCATGGGCCCGGGACCTGGCACCCCGCTGGCCTGGGCACCCGTGTCAGAGGCTGGCACATCCCGTAAGGCTCACGCTGCACTGGGCAGCACAGGCCTGGGCTCCAGGGCTTGGGAAAAGAGGGGCTCCTGTGGGGTGGGGGGAGAAAGGGGAGCCAAGCACAGGGACCCCGGCGCCCTGCAGCTTTTCAGAACACGAGGACCCACCTGGGAGGCAATCCCCTGTCCTGCCCCACTCCACCCTCTGCTTCTGGGAGCAGCCTCTCTCCTGTCCTCAGTCACAGGCTCTAGGGGACCAGGGACAGAAAGGGAGTTCTGGCCTATCTAACAAACATTGCAACACCGAGTCAGGAACGGTGAGAGAGGGCAGCAGAGGACAAAGTGAGGATCGTCACTGGGGCAGAGTCCACCGAGACTCCAGGTGCCTTCAGAGCCCAAATACTCCCTGCAGTATCCCCGTTATGGTGGGGGAAGAGGACAAGGACCACCCCTCCTCAAGGCAGCTCTCCCCTGTGGGGCAGCCCGAGCTTGGGGGACTTTCCGAGCTGGAACCTGCATTTGGAGGACACCCCTGCCTGGGTCTGGCCTCAGCATGCCCAGGTTTGTGTCCCTCAAAGGCAAAGATGCTGTGGTCCGTGGCCTGTCACCTGGGCAGCACCCAGGGATCTGGAGGTAGGGCGGGGCCGTGTCTGAGAGCATCAGGTTCCTTGTAAAGCCCCAGCTCCCGGCGCGGCTACGGGCAGGACACACGCTTCTGGAGACATGCCTCCTGGCCTGGCCTGCTTCAGAAGAGGGTGCGGGGTTGGCGGGGCGGGGGGACAGGGAGGAGGGGAGGCACCCACATGGAGAAGTTGGTGATGAAGGCTTTCTTGGGCAGCTCCATCTGGAAGGTGGCCTCCTGCACCGTGTCGGCTCTGTTAACCACTCTGCTGGTGATGACCGTGTGGGCAAATCGCGCCGAGACCTTGGAGTCCACAGTGAGGCTGTAGATGTCGATGGCATTCTGGGCCGAGGGCAGAGAAGCTGGTCAGACAGTTTCAACATCGCCCCCGCTCTGGCCCTGACTGAGCCTCCGACCAGGCCTCAGGCTGAACCCAAGGAGGCTTTCACATGAGAACGTTCACCTCGATGAGAGGCAGCTGCATTCCCCGCCCTACAGCACCATGGGGCTGGGGCCGCGTCCGACTCATTCTCTGGGGCCATGGGTGTCTCAGCGAACACTGAGCATGCAACAGCAATGGAGTCTGAGCCTGTGGCGGAGGCGAGGCCCCTGGTGGACTCGGAGCGCTGTGTGCAGGCCTAAGCTCTGCCCAGTGAAGGGCACTGAACAAGGCCTTTGACTTATGGTGACTTTGGCCTCCAGGAAAATGGGGAAATAGTTCCCTCCATTCTCCTCCCAGGGGTCCCTGGGTGCTGGGAGAATCTGGACATGGTTGGGGTCTAGTCTCCAAGAGGTGCGAATTGTCCTCCTTTCCCTGCAGTGGCTTCCCAACACCCCCAGCCACCTCCACAGGGCACTTCTTGTGCACAAGCAGTGGTCCACAGTCCCCTGAGCACCCGTGCACATATGCAGAGCCCGACACACCTCCGACCCGCCCACGTGGACCACAGTCCTGTACGCACCAACTCTGACGGCTGCACACTGCTGTCTGCACGTCAGTCCAGAGGTGCTCCAAGGCCTGTCTACACGCTTAAGCGTTTGCTGGGCTGGGCACTATTCTAAGCTCTGTAGGGCACATGGGTCTGACCTTGACGACAACCCTCTGAATATTACTGCCCTACTTTACAGATGACCAAACCGAGACCTCGCAGGAATAACCTTCCCAAGAGCACCCGGCCAGAGAGCGGCAGACCCGGGGACCCACCAGCTTCCCTGCTGGTCTTGGGCAACTTGCTAAGTTGCAGATCTTACCTGCAAAATGGAAATACCAGGATGGCCCCCTCTGTAAGTGCAAGAGCACTGTAAGGCCTCTGGGGATCATCTGGGAGACGGCCAGTGTCTTTGCCCAAAACCCGGAAGCACTCGGACTTACACACGTGCCCACCTGCAGGCTCTCCCCCACTGCCCAGATGTGCGCGCTTACTCCCCAGCTCACGCCACGCACAGGCCCCGTAGGTGACCGCTACCTTTTGGGCACTGGAGGCCTGGAGGACAGGCAGCAGCGAGAGCAGGACCAGCACTGCACCGCCGACGGGCACCGAGGCAGGGACCTTCATGTCGGCTCCGGCGCCTGCCAGGCTGCTTCTGAACTTGACAGCCCACTGCCCAGATGTGCGCGCTTACTCCCCAGCTCACGCCACGCACAGGCCCCGTAGGTGACCGCTACCTTTTGGGCACTGGAGGCCTGGAGGACAGGCAGCAGCGAGAGCAGGACCAGCACTGCACCGCCGACGGGCACCGAGGCAGGGACCTTCATGTCGGCTCCGGCGCCTGCCAGGCTGCTTCTGAACTTGACAGCAAGCGGGATGAATTAGTAACTGGCTCGCGGCTCCGCCCCTGCGGAGGCAGGTTCTGAGAAATGGGGATCTATAAGCCAAAGCCCGCGTGGGTTCAGATAAGCAGGCTGGTGGACAAATATCCTGTGGACCTTGGCTGTGTGCAGGAACACGTACTGAGGAAAGGCACCTCGGGTTGGAGCTGGGTATTGGTGCCCCTTCCGAAAGCTCCAGAACCTTCCCGCCAGCACGCAGCACAACCCCTCACGTGTTATTCCGGCAAGAGGCTTTGGGGGTTGGGGGGACACACAGGGAAGCCACTATCTGTTCTCCATTAGTCCAGACCGGAGGAGGAAGAGGGATGGACGAGAATACCAGAGGGCCAGTCCAGGCATCTTCCTGGAAGAGGGGGCCTCAGCAGCCAGACGCATGTGACTGGGCAGTAGAGCGCCTAGGGGCCCTTATCAGAGTCAAAAGTGCCCTATTTCTGCAATGACAGGTGGTTGGCCTAGAAGCCCCCTCCCTCCTGGGGGAACTAGGCTGCTGTTTGGGGCCCATAAATCTAGCTAGGGCTCTAGGTTCAACTGCAGCTAGGTCCCCAGAACCAAACCTACCATTTGACAATACAAAGGGAGAGTCACAAAGATGCCACAGCCTGGGCCCAATCCCAACGCTGAGAACTCACTGACGGAAATGCCGAAAGAAGGAAGTGCTAGCAGGACCAGGCTCCCGAGGGGGGACGGGGCGTGGCTCTGTGTGCACTTGGGGGGCCGTGCGGAGACCAGGCGTCCTAGGGGGCTTGTGGACTGCAGCTCAGGGTCCTCATATTGGCCCGTGCCTCCAGGCTTCTCTGAACTTGAGAACAAGCAAACAAGGAGATGGTGCCGCGGTCCGGGACAAGGACGTGCCGCCGGGGTGGCCTGGACCGAGTGACCTTAGTCTGCCTTGAATGAAGTGGAAATGCTGACATATATCGGACAGCAACGAAGGGGAGGGATGGCAGATGCTCCGGGAGCCACTGGGGCAAGTGCTCCCGGCCAGGGGGAGCAGGCCAGCTCTGGGGGCTGTGACACAGATGGGTACAGACGAGCCATGAAAGCGTGGCTGGGTGCCAAGTCCTAGGCTGGGGAAGAGGGACGGCTCAGCAACAGCAGCCCCAGGGTGGCTGCCTTGGGGTCCTCTGCAGGGTTTCACGGGTCCTGGAGAAAGGTCTTCTCCATCGTCCCCAGCTCTGAGAGTCGCAGTGTCTGGCCCGGGGGAAGGGCACGGAGACTTTGCATCGGTTCTACCCTCAAGTGCTGTGGTCCCCTTCTTTGGCACGCCCACGTGAGGAGCCCACGTCCTGCACACCTGCACTGCTCGATCCTCCAGCTCTGGATGTGACTGGGGTTCCACAGGGGGACACGCCCCTTCAGTATCTGGGGCATGAGCCTCCCCAAGAGGCCCAGTGAGCAGGCCCAGGCTGTCCCCACACAAGGTCTGCTCCCTAGGGGCAGAGCAGGGCCCAGCCTAGAACCAGGGCTATATTAGGAGGCCAGGCACTGGGAATGTGGGAAAGGCCCGGGGGGCAGGAGGGGCTGCCCAGCAGGCATCAGCCCAGGGCCTGCCAGCACAGCCCAGGAGGAGCCACCATCAGCCTGTCCACGGGTCTGCCACACACCTTGGAACCCGGCAATTCCGTGCACAGAATGGGATCTAGACCTGCAGGGGCAGGATCGCCCAGGGGCCGAGAACCCCCCTCCCTGCGTAGTGTGGCGGTGTGAAAGAGGAGACGGCAGTTCACTGGTCGGAGCTCCGGCTGTCTCCAATGGGGCACAGGCTGACAAGGCCATGTGAACAGGGCGGAGGAGGACGGCTCTGGGGTCCTGGGGTCCCTGGTTCCTCCAGTGCTTTGGGCCCGTTGGGAGTTCTGTAGAAGGCAGGGGAGGGGCTTCACCCGAGAGCGTTGCTGCAGCCTGATCTGCTGAGGGCTCTCAACTCCCCTGGTGCAGAGGAGAAAGAGCAGACCAGAGGGGCTGGCATGAAGTCACAGGAGGGCCACACCAGGCCTGCATGTCCAGGCCGTAACAGCACTGGCATGATCCTCTGGGACTCCCTGCACAAAAGCCCAGAAAACAGAGAACACGGTCCCATGCCCCCTCGTCCTCTTCTCCCCTCCCGTGCAGTTAGCGGCCGTGGCCAGTGACGAACCAACACCCTCCAAATGCGGGGGCCCCTCGGGCTGCCTCTTTATTGGGGTTCTCAAGGTGTTGATGCCGAGGTCCTCAGCTGAGGGGCCGGGGCAGTGGGGGGGACAGCAGGGGGGTGGGCGTGTTCCGGCATATAAAAACGGTTCTTGGGAAAGGTTCCGTGTGTGGGCGTCCAGGGTGGTGAGGGGGACGGTGGGGGAGCGGCCTCCACTTCTCAGCCAAAGACACTCTTGGCAGGTCCGGCTTTGGCCTTCTCAAAGACGGTCTCGGAGCCTGTGCGGGCGCGGCTGAACACCGATGGGGCGGCCGAGCCGGCGTGCTATCTTGGGGAAGTG